ACTGTTGCAGAATTACATGGACTCATGCGTTGTCACGGTTCAGCTTTGTTTCTTCGCGGTCTCTGGTCAGACAGCGCAGGCGAAATTGCCGATGTTCGCATTCGGACTGAAACAATTTGGTTACGACGGCATCAACTAGCCGATTCGCTGACGAAACACTCAGCAAAGCCAGACGAGCTCATCAAGGCCGTCCTTACGGGCAATCTATTGAATGTCGATGCACATCCGCCATTCCGTACCATGTTGCAGAGCAAGGCATTCCTGGTTGAGTGGCTCGCACACAACGCAAAGCACGGACCCGACATCTCTGTTTTCGCAGGAGTCGGTATAGCAGAATCCATGAAACTGGGCATGACCAGCATGTCCACAGAATTTGACGCATGAATTTTCACTTTTTTGATGTCTCAATTCCTGAAACTCAAGAAACATGTGTCTGCGTTCGCAGCTGATTTGGTTTTCAATATCCCGACCAATTCGATCTTGTATGTGCAAAACCTGTGTTGACATGCCATTTCTCAGCAATGTTTTCGGACTGGCTCCTCGAAAGAGCCTGCGTCGAAGAGAAGGGCATCGCCATTGGGATTTTTCTGTCCATGATGAACGAGAAGAACTTGATGACACCCCCATGGAGCAGATGAACGATGAAGATCCTGCACCATCCAGTGCTCAGGCAACCAAGGATGTCGACATGGGCCAGGCCGATTACGATCGAGAATCCGACTCTACGGTACAAGAATCCGAGACAGAGGAAGAAGAGAAGAGGAACGAGCAACTCTTCTCAGAAAGCTCTCAGCCAAAGCAGAAGGCCGTGCCGATGAATCCACCGATGCTTCGATTGACACCGAAGATCAAGGCATCGATCGATGAGAATACAGCAACAACCGGGCACCATTGTCCACTCAGAAGGCCAACAATGAAGGCTCCACCTCCATCCATCGATCAATCAAAATGGATCACATCAAACAAACCTGAATGACCATTCGCCTCCTGAAGGAATCCGATCATTTTGATTTATTTTGGCGCATCAAATTCCTGAGCTACATCCAGGGCTACCACCAGGAATGCTCCACCATTCTTGAACAGTTCAACTTCCTTCCAGAACGCGAGAGAGACCAGGGAGACCAGGTTTTCTGGCTAAAGGCACGGTTCGATGCTTGGTGGGCTCCTCATTCCAAGTATGGGCAGCGCGCAGAGAGTGCCTACATGGTCATATCAAGAAGGTCTACAGTGTTTGCTGCCATGCCAATGCGTCAACCGACACATCGACATGAGAAGAACCATCATAAATGCAGAACCAATTTGCAGGTGCTTCTTCATTGATGAGTCCAAGGCGCAACAGATCGTTCACTTCATCCTCTGGAGAGTAGAGAGATGTTTACCCGATGGCTGCGACACGACCCCAAGGAGAGAAGCACCCGTGAGCATCCAAGCCAATCCTGATGGATCTTGCGGGCTCTATGACATTGTGCGGCATCAGCCATGCTAAGAGTTTCCTGGGAAACAAGCCCCTCATTTTCCTGATGACTATGTTTCCGAAATACGGGAAATCCAGATTTGAAACCGCATTTGTGGGACGACCGTTATACTCCGAGAAGCAAGTTTACCGACAGCAAGAACCGGACTATGATCTCCCGTCATCAACATTTCACGAGCGCATCCATCCCTCCAGATCTAACAAGCAACACGCGGATTAAGCCGAAATATGGGATGCGAAGACCGGCGCCTGACTCTGTGGAACAGGATAGAAAGACCAGGCCGTTCAGCAAAAAGCCGATCACATTCATATTCCATGCTACTTACAATGACCAGATATACAGCGTTCTGGAGCAGGGAATTAAGTCGGGAAGAGCTCGACCGTACGAAGAAGAATGCGTGTCCATCTTGCAAGCATTGACGACGTGATCCTGGACGATGAGCCATCCAAAGCAGCATTGACACACGCGCCTGGAGGACGAGACGCCCTGTTGATCCTTGGCTTCTTCAAGAACAACGAGGAACGTGCTGCGTTATCCGAAGACAGCATCGGTCCACAGAACATCCTTGCAGCGTGTGATTCTGAAAGACAGGAAACGCAGACCAACTTCTGGGTCATGAAGAAAAACCTGGACAAAGAGGGTCTGGAACAGTGCGTGACCAAGATCCAGGAGTTCGCGCAGGATTTCTTCAACCATGTCAATGCCAACAAATCAGACAAGGACCAATCTCACAAGAACACATCCACCAAGACCGAGATCCACTGACAGGGACGAGGATGGCGAGCCAGGAATGGAACCTGGCAGGGAAAGAGGCGCCAAACACAGAGTCATGATGGAGAACCTCAATCCTGACAATCTCACCAAGTTCAACGCAGGTCCTGAAGCAGAAGAACTCAAGATTGCCAAGGAAAGCTTCAAGGACTTCATGCTCAGGTGTGAAAAGAATCCTCAGAAGGCTCACAAGAACCTCAACCAGTGTGAGACTGATTCCCTGAGAAGAAGTTCTACTTTCGCCGCAGCAGCAACAAGCCACACATGGAAGAGTACAGAGCTGCGCAACCGGCATCCGGGTATCCGATTCGACTGTCACTTGGACTGAAATCTCTCAGGACGCAAGACGATCCCGATGTGATCAAGGCATACACGGATATCCTCGGACCCTTGATGCAAGCAACTGAAGGGCCTGTGATGGACAAGTTCCAGACTCCTCCATGACCATCAACATACTCACCATGAATCACGGGAACCTCACGAGGAACCCTAAGTTGGACGGCAGGGACTTGAAAAACATGCCCAGGCGAGACCGACCGATCACACGGATGCAGCAGCTACATGCAAGGAGTTCATTTGCTTGTTCATCATCTCAGGATACAAGGGCATTGTGATCAAGTCATGGTCTGCTAGACCCAGCGCATGTTTTTTCCGTGGCAACAGGAGCGCCAGAGTCGAACTTTTGGCAAGACACATCTCAACGAGATCCCAGAATTGGGGAACCGCGTTTAGATGTTTCTTTGGCACGAGATCGACTGCATAGATCCGGAATACGATACGCCAACCTTCGACTGCCTGGCGACGACAGGTCCTCATATGTCCAAGGAGAACCTCAAGCGTTATGCCGGCGAGAGACTGCCACCACGAACTTCCCCAGGTGCTCATCCAGCCGCGGAGAAACCTTTTTACATCGCTGCGGCGAGCGTGTCTGCACGCGGCGATGCTCAATGTGTATGGTCACACGAGAGCTTCATCTCATCGTCCTACGAGAGGAAACATTGCAGTGCTCGATCCCACATATTTACATCTGTTAAAACTTCCATCCAGACCTACGGGCGCAACAAGGAAATTGTGGTGATCCAGATCGACCAGAGTAACGAATTCCGAGGAGCGCTTCCGAGATCATCCGGGACTCCGAACACGGATTTACGACAGTCGACACATTCTCCAAGCCGGACTTCCATATGCTACCGTTGGGGTCTTCCACATCCATCCGAACATCACCCATGGAGAGGATCTCCAGAATGGAACCATGCCACTCGTGACCATGTACCAATGCGATGCAATCACTGGCGATGCAAACAAATCCGCCAACACTTGCAGTCGATTGCAGCGGGTCTATAATCCGGAATTTGGATTGATCAGCCGCATCATGCAGACATACCAGGACACATGGAATACGACAAGGGGAATGCCCGTTGAAAAAAGAATGGATTACATCCTGCACGATGAAGGCAATCGTACGTCACCATCTTTACATGAAAGCTGGTTCTGGATGTGATCGAACATTTCCGGAGTGCATGATGACGTTTGTGTTTGGATGGGGAAAGACCGACATCCAAAATCGCTTTCGAAGATCTGAGTATGAGTCCATGACCGAAGAGGAAAGGAAGAAAATGCAGGACGAGACCACGCTGATCATTTCCGATTACCAGGTGATCTCAGCTGAGCGCTTCAAACACATCACCAATGAGATGTTTCTGAATGGCCCATGTGATCCGAGAGCAAAGAACCAGACACCCAGAGAGCTAAGGAGTACAACCAGAAGAAGAAGAAGGAGAATACCTGAAGAAGCTTATGGTACAACAAAGGTTACGGCTACGATCAACCTGGATGGAAAAGCTATGGTTCCTCACTATGACCGCTACAGCCAATCAGAAACCAGCAGCCGTCCGTGGAAGCGATGAAAGGTTTGCAGAAGCTCGAACAAGAGTTCGCGCGAGAAAAGAACCACGAATGACGACCAATTGATCCTCACCATCAGCAAGACTATTCTGTGAGAGGTCATTAGCTTCACAATGATCCTGCGTGTACATAGCATTGTACATCATCTATTGATACAATTAGGTATCCGCAATGAGTACAGAGTTTTCTTTTCCTTTTGCCAACAAAGACATTTCATCTGCGCCAAAAAGGGATGAATACAGGATTTTAATTCTGACATGGCTACGGAACACACTTGAATGGCTACGGTCGAAGGCCAACCAGCCAATAGTAATTCAGTGCTGGAGATCAGAAGAAATTTGTGTCTGTTTTGTGTTTGTTTTCTGGACCCATTGATCTCCATGCAACACGTTACCATTTTTGCTCAAGGCCTTTCATGTCACACCTCAGATGCACATAGCTCACTGAGCCATTGCATCCGTGGCAGACCACTTTCAGGATAAACCACAACACACTTTTCACCAGGGCTTATCCAGTATCAATCCATCAGTATTGACACTTGGAACTCTCCGGAATAGATGCAGGGCCACCACATAAAGATATCCTCTACTACCACAAGGTATCGGGTTTTTTCGGGGAGAAGATGCCCCTAGCAGTGGGCCTCACCCCCGCCCGCGCAGTGAGAGAACCGAGTCGCGCGGCATGGCTTCAGTGGAGTGCCGCAAGTCGGTGCTGACTGGTCGACAATTGAGCGAAGGGGGAAGAAGAGCACTGATCACGAGATGTTGGGCACCCTGGCATGTCACCATGTGCTGTGCTTGAAGTGGTATGTTGCACTCACACAAGCCTGAGTTGTCCATGCATTCCCGGGAATCTCACACTGGGTCAATGATGGCACGGAGTCAAGAAACTGGCGCTTGATCTCGGCTTGGCCGTGGACGCCTCCAATGTCTGTCGACGGCCAAGTGGTTGCCGGTTTGGCAGGGCTCTTGGGTTGTGGAGTGCCTGGCAAGGGCAGCCTCAGCTCCAGCGCTTTCAGCGCCTTCGCCCGGCGCGCAGCCAGAGGTGAGTTGGTGCTTCCCCATTTTTTTCCATGCACAGTCTTGCAGTGAGCGCCATGTTTTTGTTACGTTTCTTACTACTTTCTTTCTTTCCGTGCCTGCGCGACCTGCGCGTCCTGCGCGCCATGGTGCCCCAGGCCTGGCTGTGGCAGCTCTTTGCCCGGCCTCAGGCACGTGCGTTTTCGCGACTGAGACCCTTCTCAGCCATAAGGGAAACAACCCCATCCAGCAAGGGAAAGCAGCAATAGCCTCAGCATTGGCTGTGGCAGGAACTCTGCAACTCGCTCAACAGGGACAGGAAACCAAGCAAACACTAGGATACGAGAAAATGGAACCGCAAGTTACAGCGCCTCGCCATCCGCGAGGTTCAGGAGCGCTTGAAGGCTGACAAGGCACGGCAAAACGGTCTCCTGTCAGGTCACCGCTTTTTCTTGAGGCTCTCGAGGAGAATGCGCTGCTGGTGGCCGAGAACAGGCATCGTTCCGTCGGGAGCGCTTGGGGACGACAGAATTGGAGGTTAATGTCAGGCTTTTGGAGAAGGACAGAGGGAGGGGTTTGAGTTGGAAACGAAGGTCAGTTCGTAAAGTTCGAGGAGCTAAACGCCAGAGGCGAAGGTTGCAAGTCAGAGATAGGAGTCACGGTCAGGCAAACTGGCTGGAGGTGAGAACTTAAGCTTAGACGTAGGTTGATGGAAAAAGCAAGTTTCAAAAAGGAGGCTTAAGGTTGCTTTCCGTCACCGAGTGAGGCACCTGGAGCAGCGGTGCCGCGTGCTCGAGGTGTGGGCGCTTCCGACACAGAAGTGAAGCTCTGCTTGGTTGTCCTTGATTTTTGAGGAGAATGCGCTGCTGGTGGCCCAGAACAGGCGCGTGTTTTGCCGGGCTTTCGCATGGACTTATCTTGAAGGGACCGAGCCCCCGAAGGCGCTTGGAGCAGCGATGCCGCGAGCTCGAGGCGTGGGATGCAGTTCCGCTCGCTATCACTCCCAACGGGCTGAGGAGGACCTCCGGTTTTACTCTGATTGGTGGCGGGCGAAGGCTTGAACTCCGGTCGGCGCTTTTTTTTCTGGCTCGCTCACTTCGCCTGAGGCGATCCGAATATCCTCGCCGTTGACCCGGTGTGAGGAGGTGATTTGGGAGCCGGCCAGGGAAGGCTTCGCTTGGAAGTGGGGCGCTCGGATAGGCTACGACCTCCAGGCTCTCGAGTTTCTCCGGTCTCGAGGTGGTACCCCACGTCATGTCCGTGCTGCCGCCGGCCTTTGGATGTCACGGTGACCACGTGCCTTGGCACGGTGACCATCTGTCGGCGCGGTGTGAGACTTTTGCCAGGCACGACGACGTGCACCCGTGGGACGACTGGGACACGAGGACCGGGCGCGGGCACGCCTATGTGTGCGTGATGTGGGGAACCCACGCCGGCTACGCCCTGGGTGCGGCAGTGCTTGGCGCCCGCTTGCAGGACAGGCTGCGGGAATTGCGCCCGGCAAAGTTTGACGCTCGCACTTTGTGCCCAAAAAACTGAAAGATCGTCCCAGGAGCTGCAAGCTGAGTCAGGCACAAGGGCGAGGGCTTGTGGGCTTTTGGGCCCCACTTTGTACTCCCTTGCAACCCTTCTGCAAGCCTTTTCAGTCCGATATGAGCAGAGTGGAATTCTTTTATGACCCGTGAAGATTTACAACGCTTCAAACTTGCTGATGGTGGGGGGAGCATTCATTGAGATATACCATTGGTTGAGTTCGACATGTTATTCCCTGGAGTCAGGAGGATGCAATGATGTTGATTGCTTTTGTTTTTTGAGCAACTGAACCCCGCTGACATGTTTTGCTGTCGTGGTCATTGATTTCAAACACACGGCTTACAACGCGAGACACGACTTCACAGAGCGCACGTCTTGGGTGGCTTTTGCCGACAAGAATTGTTCGGAGTGGTTGGAGAAGGGGTAGGCAGTTGGCAGGCCATTTCTTGATCCTCACCTCCGTTTCTACCGTTTTGCCCCTTGTAGGGATTGAATGTGGGTACTTTGCGAAGGATACACAGTTTGCAGTGGTGCTTGAGGCAATCCCTAGTTTCTTCGTCCGTCTCCAGGCCACCGTGCTGACTTGGTGCTCATGCATACAGATGCGGCTCGGCTTGCAATTGTCTGAGAGGGCTCGTTGAGACTCACAGCAACTTTGAGAGCTCAAGCGTCGACCCCGGATTTGGCAACTTGATTGATGGGGAGTTTTCACGAAAAAGTGAGCGATTGCCTCTAACACGGAACACCCCCTCTCATCAACGGTGTTCACCCTGGGTTCCGATTACTTTGCATTTGCGCACTGATTTAATACTGAAAGTTGCCTGTTGTGAGCCGAGATCTCTCTTGATGCCGCCAATGCCATTTGCCTTTGTGAAACCTGTGCCCGCAGAACCGAGCACCTTTTCGAAGCTGTTCCCAATAAACAAACGGAGCCGATAGGGGCCCCACTGCACAGTTTGCATTTGAAGCATGCAGGATGTGCCGCAGAACTACCTGGATGAGCTCGGGAAGACGTGGTCGCTTCGGCGCGTGGACTACATCGACGGCGTGCCTGGCCTGTACTCCTCCAAGGGTACTCGCTTCGACGGGGTCTTCACCAAGCTCTGCGCGTGGCAGCTGGCCGCGGCTGAGAGCGCGCCCGTTTCGGGCGGAAACCGTTGAGCTCAGGTCGAGTACGACAAAGCCCCCGCCTTGGAGAGAACAGCAAGAACAGAGTGCTATGCTTTGCGCTTTGGCATCTTGGGCATCTTGCGTATCTTGGGCATCAGGTTCTGCTGATGGACATCGACACCTTTCCCTTGCAGTCGCTGCACGAACTCTTCGACCTAGACCCGCCCGCCGCCTTTGCGCCTTGACTGATCTGACGCATTCCTACGAATGCGTGCGACGAATGCGAAGTTGCCGAGTTCGTGGCATTCGAATTGAGATCCGCGGCAACTCGGACTTGGCGCATGGCGAGGAGGTGGATGGACGTGCCATGGCATGTCGAAGCGGGTGCTATGTTTGAGGGAAGACTTTAGATATAAGCGACGGCGGCGTGCTTCTGAGGCTCCTTCTTCCTTGCCGAATGGGACGAGAGAAGCTGGGGACAAGCCGGAGGCGGACCTGGCACAGCGCACGAGCCGGAGTCTCGACGTTTTATGCTTGCCCTGAGGCATCAATGCCGGAGTCATCCTGTTGCGTCCCGATGAGCTCGTCTACCAGCAGATGCTGAGTGAGGCCTTGCCGCATCTCGCAGCCATTCCGCGCGCGATTTTCGCGAGGTCACCTCCGAGGGCCATCCTTCCCACATTGCTGGCAACGGCCCGGAGCAAGACTACCTCACGCGGTTTTTCGCCGCAGCCCGCCCCACTTCATGCCATGCTCATCTCAAACTGCCACACATTTGTTTGCAGCATATCTTAGGCAAACTTGAAGCACCCTTGGCGGCATGTGGATGTCTCCTACAATTTCCAGCTGCACCATGTGCCCTTTGCCATGGAGAAGGCACGCCAATCGCATGAATGTTCTTTCAATGGGTGTGTCCCTTTTTGAGGGTACCCCTTTTTTAGTGGGTTTTAAAGGGACACCACCGTTGTCGGGTCCCCCGAACAAAGACACACCCAATGGCTGCTGTACTGCCAGTTGCTGGCATTCCGCTCTCGCTCCGGAGAAGATGGCGTGAGTGACAGCTGGCTCCCGAGACGGCTTGCCATCACCGCCGAGGACGAAGCATTTGGGCAAAGTCGAACCCGTTCGAGTTCGAATGAGTTCGAATGAGTTCGAATTCGAACAAGGACATCAAGCTGGTGCATTTCAGCGGCGAGCTGAAGTACTGGCACTTGCTGCCGGGAGCCAAAGCAGTTTCCGAGGGCTGTGTGCTCGGTGTTCCGTGCGAGGTTGAACGCCGACCTGGACACAGAGAACGCGAGGCGGGCACAAGGCAAGCATGGAGCAGATGCCGACGCGAACGTAAGAGAAAGTTGGAGCCAAAAGGCTCGATTGCTTGAGGCTGAGAAACGGTTTTTAAAACTAGTTTCCCGTGCGAGCTTCCTTCCGAGTTTCGCAGTTTCGCGGAGAAGATGATGTCGGAGTTTGCATCCTACGGCGTTTGGGTCAGCGGCACGGAGGATGCAACACCCTTCGGCGTGGAGCGGTCCGAGGGCCGCCTGCGGCTGACGGCCACAAAGGCGGATGTCACGGATCTGGTTGAGCGCCCCTTAGCCAGCACCAAGACACGGCGTGTCCATTGGATGGTTTTATGACACATTTTCGGTCAAACGTGTCCATCATGGTTCTATTTTCTGGGCCCTGCGGCCTCTAGCCGGCTACGCCTCTTTGAAGTTATACCGTGTCATGTCATGCTTTTTTGCCATGATGGCTGGTTAGGTTATGCATGTTGCCCACCCCAACCCCAGATGATGCCGGGGATGCCAGCTTTCTGGGCCCCAGCCGGGCCCCAACCCAGAAGGCTGACATGGGGTCGCGCGCGCGCGCCAGAGGCCCCAGAAAGAGCAGCCCAAAAAGAGCAGCCCGCAAGCCAGCCCGGAAACAACAAAACACCGTAAATAGCAGCATTTTGTGGCTGGGGTCGCGTGCGCGCGCCAGAAGGCCCGAAAACCAACGGGAAAAAAGCAAGCGCTGCAAAACGGACAGAACAACAGCCCACCGCTCAGCACAGCAGTTTTTGACAGTATATACAGCGTTTTGTAGAGCGAGGGCCCAGCTTGGCGCCACAATGCGCGAAAATGAGCCTCGCTTATATCCCTCCGATACCTTCTAAAAAACAGTGCTTCATGGGTTGAGAGGCTTTTTGGAAGGAAGTCTTGATGATGCAGACCAAGCCCCGCTGAAGCATCCCAGGCCAACCCCAGACCCTGATGATGTCAGCCACATGGCCTAAACCCTGCGTATACGCGATGTTTTGCGAGGGTTTCCCACAGGCAGGCAAAACCGCAAGCCCGAGCTGGTGATGCAGAGGTGCCGGATTTAGGCGAGGGGCGGCGGCACCAGGGTGCAGCCCCTTAGCTAAAGCTAGCAGGCTAATTGCCTAGCGGCGACATGCTACCGAGGCGTAGCCGGATTTGCCGCCCGGTTCCCGTTGGCGACCCGCGTGCTTGCTTGCTTGCGCGTCTGTCTGCCGGCCTGCCGGCCTTTTGGGATATGACCCCTGGAGCCGCTTCAAGCGGAAACTGGCACAGCCGCCGGGCAAAGCACGCGGTGGAGGAGGACGCGCCGTCGTATTCAGGCGCCGTGCGAAGGGAGTGTTGTTCTGAGGTTGACTTTGGCTTGTTAGAAGAGGGGAGAACAGAAGAGACAGTTTCATGCCCTGAGAACGCGATCCGAGGGGATTGACCCGAGGTCTAATGTTCTCCTCTGTTCTGGCAGGGGGGCGGGTTGATGGGGGGTGATGATGACGTTGACAACCCCCGTAAAGTGAATTGCCGCAGTCATTTTTGTAAGCTTTTTTGTTTTGAGAGCTCCCGGATGTGTTTTTCTGTGTTTTTGTGCAACCCGAACGGTGCTCCCAGGTACCGCCCCGGCCTTACTTCGGGCTGTTTTCGGATTCTGGGCTTTGCACGTTTGCGCCGGTTTGGCGGGGACGAGGGATTCCTGTGTCCGCCCCTATTTTGGGCCGTTGCCGGCTGGCCTTTTGTCTTCCTAGGTCCTAGCTGCCTGCCTGCCTGCCTGCCTGCCCGTTTGTTAGCTTGCCTTCCTGTGTGACTGCTTGCCTTTTTTTTTCTCTCCTGCCAATGTGCCTGTCCGTGCGCCCGCTTTATTGATTGCTTGCCTGGTGCTTGCCTTCTTGTGTTCTACGTCTGTATGTGTATGCATATGTACATGTGTATGTTTATGTGCATGTTTTGTGATGTGGGGTGCAGCTCGAAATTTTCATGCTGGTGTACGTATGGATGTATGTATGTGTGTAATGTAATGAAATGCAACGTAATGTCATGTAATGTAATGTAGTGTAGTGTAGTGTGTAGCGTAGTGTAGTGTAGTGTAGTGTAGTGTAGTGTAGTGTAGTGTAGTGTAGTGTAGTGTAGTGTAGTGTAATGTATGCATGTATGTCATGTATGTATGTATGTATGTATGTATGTATGCATGCATGCATGCATGCATGTATGTATGCATGTATGCGTGCATGTATGCATGTATGCATGTATGCATGCATGTATGCGTGTATGCATGTATGCATGTATGCATGTATGCATGTGCTAAGAATCTCCGGGCAACAGGCCAAAAACCCAAGGACAGGTTCTGAGGGTCACCCTGTTCTCTTCCCCTCCTTTAATTTAAGGTTCTTCGAACCTTTGCGTTGATGCTGTTGTGTGAACAGCAGAAGGATGCTTTGGCTCAAGTTCTTGACAGGTGGATCAAGACTATCCAACGGAACGCTGTAAAGAAGCAAAAGGACCGTGCTCTTGCAGGTGTGAGACAGCGCAGACCATATTATCCTTACACCCCCTATTTGCACCTACACGGCTTCGCAACCGAGGGTAGTGGTCACCCCACAGGATTTGAACCCCCAACTGCCTTGTCATTGACTTCGTGGTTGGCTCGCCTCCTGGCAGGTTATCAGCCGTAAGCTTTCACTTGGTCCCAGCGGTGGACTGCAACTGCGGCGCAATACAACCTTTTGAATCTTATTTACAGCCGTACAATGGATTCTTCCGGAAGCCCAGGAACTGCAACCTTTGGAAATGACAGTTCCAGTGGTTCCACAGGTATGTTTGCTGCCGGCAATCGCGGACTCTCCGGATACACAACAAAGTGCAAGTTCTGGAATTAGCCACGACCCTTCACATTCCTCCTGGAAAGAAGTTGGTCATGCTGTGTGGTCAAAGGACGGAGAAAAGAAGAGATCGTCATCAGCTTCATTATCGACACCGAGAAGCCGAGAAGGAGCGTGAAGGGCGTCATGAGTCCTGTGAGAAAGGAGAGAGGGCGATCAAAGTCGCCCACAGGCTCAAGTCCGTGCTGGTATTTTGGAACAGCAAGTAGCTCACATCCTCAAAAGATCCGACGAACAACTTCGAGAAGCTATCCGAAGATCAAGCGCAACACCTTGTAAAGATCTACGGAGAGTATCAAGAAGAAGCCCGAAACAAAGTCCTCGAGTACGAGAAGCGACGCCATGAGATGGTTGCAACCGTTGATCTTCTTGAACATCGAATCAGATGCGAGGAGGAAAGCACATTGGTTAGCAAGAACAAGGCTGAGCAAGAGAGGAGAAGCGTTTCTTCTGAGACTGCACAGTACCAATCAATGATCAACTCCTACCAGGAGAAGATCAATACGGACTCGCAGAACGAGGAGAACACTATTCGTGGTTTGCGCGAAAGATTGGAAACAGCATTGATGCCACAACCAACGATGGCGATTGACGACGAGCCGCAAAGTGCATTGGTGAGCAAAGCGAACGACGCCATCAGGTACGCCGAACAGGAAGCCCACTGCGCACGGGTTGCCGTGAGCGAACGGGATGAGATGTATCTGATCGGCCAGCGTGCAGTGCAGGAGCGTGACGCAAAGATGAACGAGGAGATCAAGATGGCAAGAGATCGAGCTCATAAAGGAAATGCACTACATGAACGCGCCACGCTGAGGGATCGGGAGTTCGACGACGTGACTCGCGAACTCGCTGCGTCGATGCAAAAGGCCAATGATGCGCAATCTTGCGCATCATTGGCTGAAGAAATCGAAGAGACACGGCGCGAGCTCAAGATCCAAGAGGGATTTGTATATCAGCTGGCAGAGACGAACAGGAAGCTCGAGAGTGAGAACGCCACACAAAGCATCGTTGGGGCTCCAATGATCGTGGGATCTACTGAGGGATGATTCTGATAGGACCAGTAAACGCCATAATTCGAAGACCCGTAAGAGTGATACCACAAATGGGCCTCAGCAACAAATGTGGCAACATCTTGTTCTAGTGCATAGGCACCTAATGTTCCAAAACCAATTGATTACAGCCTCGGACCGGGTTCCGTTTTGTTTCCTGTTTACCAAGATCCAATGATACGCTAGACCTCTCCCATAGGGAGATGACGCCTTATTTCAAAAACTAGACCGCGGTTGGCCCGAAAGCATAACATCGCAAGCGAGGTCGGCCCAACGCTGCAGGACGCGTTCTTTTTCCGTACACGAAGCATACGTGAAGCAAGCGCGAGACAGCGCCAGGCAAGGTGCTCTGCGCAAACTGGTCGGTGCAAGTTGGTCTGCGCAAGTTGCTCTACGCAAGTTGCACTGCGCAAGTTGCTCGGCGCAAGTTGCTCCGCGCAAGTTGCTCCGTGCAAGTTGGTCCCTGCAAGTGGCTCCCTGCAAGTTGCTCTGCGCAAGCTGCTCTGTGCAAGTTGCTCTGTGCAAGTTGCTCTGCGTAAGTTGCTCTGCGCAAGTTGCTCTAGGCAAGGCGCTCTGCGCAAACTGGTCTGCGCAAGTTGCTCTGTGCAACTTGCTCTGCGCAAGTTGCTCTGCGCAAGTTGCTTATGCAAGTTGCATCTTGCGACGCCCGTTCGCGGACCAGGGAGGAATCGAACCCGCGACCCGCCTCCCGGGAGCAGGCGCGCGAACCACGAGACAACTCCCGAGGACCAAAAAAAGAAAAAAGTCGCAAAAATCCTCGAGTTTTTGCTGCACCTCGACCACGCCGATCCCCGCAGAGGGTCGCGCGAGCACCGCGGAAATCGCAAAAAACCTCGAGTTTTTGCACCTCGACCACGCCGATCCCCGCAGAGGGTCGCGCGAGCATGTTAAAAATCGCAAAAAACCTCGAGTTTTTGCACCTCGACCACGCCGATCCCCGCAGAGGGTCGCGCGAGCATGTTAAAAATCGCAAAAAACCTCGAGTTTTTGCACCTCGACCACGCCGATCCCCGCAGAGGGTCGCGCGAGCACCGCAAAATCGCAAAAAACATGGGTTTTTGCACCTCGACCACGCCGATCCCCGCAGAGGGTCGCGCGGGAACTTTAGAAATCGCAAAAAACCATGGGTTTTTGCACCTCGACCACGCCGATCCCCGCAGAGGGTCGATTTTCGTGTAGTGTCGTCGGCACTACCCCGCCGCCCTAAGAAGAGATTTTAACTCCTCGCAAGTCAATTGCACTTGACTCCTTGCACTTGCAACTTGCACGTGACTCCCTTGCCCTCTTGCAACTTGCACTTGACTCCTAGCACTTGCAACTTGCACGTGACCTCCTTCTAACGTGCAACT